ATTTTTTTAAGTGTTATGTTTTCATTTCAAACACTTGGAATTGTTTTCCATCTAATATATTATATGTATATATTAGTAACAAAGAGCTTAACAAAATTAGAATCTTAATATTATGTATCTCTCTCTCTTCGATCGGTCCCTCACTGCTGAGGATCGTGACTCCGTCCGATTTCGTCAACCAACTGTCTCCATCGATCCCGCCCTGCAGCCCGGTGGAGTGCGTCGCTGATAGGTATCCCCAGTTCCTCCGCTATTTGGTCCGACCATCGTTTGGGACCNATATTAGTAACAAAGAGCTTAACAAAATTAGAATCTTAATATTATGTATCTCTCTCTCTTCGATCGGTCCCTCACTGCTGAGGATCGTGACTCCGTCCGATTTCGTCAACCAACTGTCTCCATCGATCCCGCCCTGCAGCCCGGTGGAGTGCGTCGCTGATAGGTATCCCCAGTTCCTCCGCTATTTGGTCCGACCATCGTTTGGGACCTCTACCCCTAGGCCTTTTTCCTTCTATTTTACCGGTCACCACAAGGCGTTCCAAATTGCTTATTATTATGTATAAATAGCTTAATTACTTTGGGATCACATAAAAGTAATATAATATTATTATTAGAATTGACATTAAAAGCTGTAGGTATTTATTTCACAATCATAAAACTAGTCCGTTTAAAGGGATGTCCATCTTGTCAGAGTGAATATATCGATAGTAAATAAATAACTGTATTTGAATGTTTTTCCAATTAAAAAAAAACTTTGATCAAAAAGTTTCTAAGTGTTTTCCATTATTTTTACTGGTAGTAGGACCTCTTCTGAGTCCGCGCGGGTGGGTACCACCACCCTGCCTATTTCTGCCGTGAAGCAGTAATGCGTTTCGGTTTGAAGGGTGGGGCAGCCGTTGTAACTATACTTGAGACCTTAGAACTTATATCTCAAGGTGGGTGGCGCATTTACGTTGTGGTTGTCTATGGGCTCCAGTAACCACTTAACACCAGATGGGCTGTGACCTCGTGCACCCATATATGCAATAAAAAAAAAATATTCGTCGTAGAATCTACATTGGAAGCTTACAGCAGCAGCAGCGATTTTTAAAACACTTAGAATTTAATATTCGCTTCTAATTAAAAATAAATAAGGTCGCAATTATATAGACATGGGAAACTGGCTTAACGACCAGTGAAATGACAGCGAGTTTTGGTTGTGCGACAAAAACGCTGGCGACAAATTGAGTGGGTCGACCGAGCGGATCGTCATTGTCACATACGAAGAAAAGAAGTGTGGCGCCAGTGTTAGCAGGTAGCGAGAGAGAAAGAGCTCTCAACAATATTTGTACAAATACAAATTTCTATAATTAATACGCGAATCGGGGCTTATCTCATTCCAAAGCAGTTAAATTTTGAAATATCGTTCTGATTTTTAGGGTTGCTAAATAAATAAAAAAACTTGGCGTCAATCATGATTTCCATTCTTAAAAAACTTAATCTAACTTTTTAAATTGTACAATTTGTTTTCCACGATAACGCCAATGCCTTTCAATTAGTCGCGAACTCCGTAAACTTAAACAAAACATAAGACTGGTCGGTGATGACCACCACAAGAATTCTTTCCGTAATTAATGAAGATGTGATTGTTTCGGACGTGGCTCATTGTCCCCTAAACACGGCCATCTTATATAGTCCCGTAATGAATCGATCGTAAAACTCGATATCGATATATCGATACTCATTTTCATTGAATGAGATTTACGATGCTTATGCGTGCGAATTGGCGGGCAGTTCGAGTGCTCGAGTGTCAAATTTTATGGGGTATTCAAAAATCGAATTGTAAATTTCGAATGTGTTCGATTAATTGCTTGTTTTGCGCGTTTTATTTATTATGATTAATGTTTCATTTTAGTACGCGTCAATGGCGTCTTAAGANATATATCGATACTCATTTTCATTGAATGAGATTTACGATGCTTATGCGTGCGAATTGGCGGGCAGTTCGAGTGCTCGAGTGTCAAATTTTATGGGGTATTCAAAAATCGAATTGTAAATTTCGAATGTGTTCGATTAATTGCTTGTTTTGCGCGTTTTATTTATTATGATTAATGTTTCATTTTAGTACGCGTCAATGGATCTGAAGAATACGTGGTTTCATTAAACACGTGGTTTGTCGGTATTGACAATAAAATGAATCTAAATTTTAAAGTTTTATTATATAGAAAGGTACATTGACCTGCGTTAAGGTATCATCAAGCATTTTCTTAATTGACACTTAGATTTTTGGATAATAAATGGCAGATGTTTCATGTTGTGTGCATTTTTGTTTTAAATAATTTTTTATCTTATTATTTTATACATTTAAATGAGCAATTCTTGTATATTATATATAATCTGAATCTCGGAAACGGCTCCAACGATTTTCATAAAATTTAGTAAACAGGGGATTTCGGGGGCGATTAATCGATCTAGCTACGATTTATTTTCAGAAAATGTTGTTTCATTCGTGTTTTCAATAATCAACTCTTCCCGACATCTATTGGCGAATAATAATAATATTTTTCTTAATTGAGGGCAACTAACCGCTTTAAAGACACAACAAGATGGCGTTATCAACAAGATGGCGGTCATCGTCTAGTTTATTTAAATGACAGCAATTTACGAAATTTATGTCACGCAACTAATTCTATAAAGATGCATGCTTTTTATACTTTAACATTAGCAAAATATCGACAACAAGGGTCCCATCACTAAATTTGAAATGAGCAGTGCAGAGCGCATGCCGGCCCTCTTAATGCGGCCTTTAATTACGTTTTAATCGTTTTTCGTCTTCGAAATGTTTCGGAGGCTTCTTGGAAACGAGACGAAGGACCATGGTGTTGTTTTTAGCGTTACATTGTGGCCGATCTACATTCCGTTTCGATTTAAATATAAAGGGCACATTGTTGTCTTAACATTTTAGAATCTATATATTATTAATACGTGAAGCAAAAACTATGTATCCCTTTTTACGAAAATTGCGCGGACGGAGGAGTATGAAATTTTCCACACTTATAGAGAATATAGAGAAGAAGTGCACAATGCTAATATTTTTTTTTAAATAATGCATAAAAGATACATTAAATCAATAAAGAAAACATTACACACACTACATACCACGTATTTGACGCACACACGCATGCACACTATTTATTGTCAAACTTTTGTTCTTGACGTCTGTTGTCAAATTGAGATTAAATATTGTTCGTCTTTGTTAATATTATTTATAGTGTAGCCTTGGCGAAATTTGTGATTATAGAAGTATAAAATACAATCATAATATTGTACAAACTTACAATTGCAATTAATTATAGTCGAATTTCGACTACTGCGGGACCTCTAGTTATCATTGTTTCTTAAGTAGCGAAGAAGAAATTTATGTCAATTATATCGACAGTTCAAGAATATAAATTTATTAAGGCACTATGGTGTTTTTTGTCGTGTTTATGGTCAGACGAGATTAAAGCCCAGAGGTTACTGAAAACGACTACCCATTATGAGTGATCGATGGTGTATGATTACTGCAATCATAATGCAAGTGTTTGGAAGTGAAATATAGGCTACGTGGAAATGACTGTTAGGAAATGTTTGATGCTCTATATTGAATGACCTCAAATAGTTAAATAGTTATAAAAAAATCGAGTACAAATCACACAAGGTCATCTGTTACCAAAATATGATTATAATATGATAATTTAAGTTGACATATATTTATACGATACTAGCTGACCCGGCAGACTTCGTAGTGCCTCAATCTATAAATCAAAAAGAATCCGTCCGACGGGGGACACATCAAAGGAAAAAAATATTGTTATTTTTATTCAATTCCGAGAATTTTCATATTTATCTACCTTTTAAACTTTCTCTGGACTTTCACGAGTAATTCAACACCAAAGTTAGCCAAATCGGTCCAGCCGTTCTCGAGTTTTAGCGAGACTAACGAACAGCAATTCATTTTTATAGATACATATATATAGATATTTTAAATTGCTTAGTATAAAGTGGTTAGCGGAGCCGGAAATCACAACGCGCATGCTGCCGCTTACGTTGAGACACCTCAAAGACTCAATAATATTTCATAACGGCTATCCCACTCTTCAAACCGGAATACATGCTTTGCGGCAGAAATAGAACGATTCGTGCAGTTCAATGCTTCTTAAGATTCCCTTGCACGCGTTCTCCTCTACCATTTTAAGCTTATTATATCAAATCAATGGAACTTTTTGCTAATTTACTTATTAAGATTTTCTCTCTTAATTATTTTTGCCTCGCACATTAAACGGAAAAAAAAACTAGCTATTTTTCTGATAACACTTACTTGAATTACTGTTGTTACTCTCGTAACTGTTTATGGAATTTACTTCTTTTTTTATTGCTTAGATGGGTGGACGAGCTCACAGCCCACCTGGAGTTAAGTGGTTAGTTTTGCCCATAGACATCTACAACGTAAATACGCCACTCACCTTGAGATATAAGTTCTAAGGTCTCAGTATAGTCACAACGGCTGATCCGCCCTTCAAACCGAAACGCATTACTGCTTCACGGCAGAAATAGGCAGGGTGGTGGTACCTATCCGCGCGGACCCACAAGAGCTCCTACCACCAGTGATTTACGCTGTGATAAACCGCATTTTAAAATAATGAAAAAAAAAACGCATCATTAACACAAAGAAAAAAAAAACACAAAACTGCTTAATCAACACATAACCGTACAGCGCTCTCAATCGCTATAATTAAATGTGCTTAAAGCGCATCCCTCTAACAGATCACGAATTAAGATAACGACGCTATTTCTTAACAAATTTAACGCGCAAAGAAGACCGCATTATGCCATTTAATTAATCTCACACTTTCGTGTTATGAAGACGTAATAAAAGCAATCGCACTGAACAATGGAGGCGAAGACTTAAAAGCCGGTAAATTAAGTTATTTTTCGGAAGCCAAATATAATGTGTCATTAATGGTGACGCTTTGTTACAGGTGCAGAATGAGAACAAACAAAATAATGCGAAACACAAATCTCGGCGATGCAAAAGAAGATTTATGATGACGACGAAAATGGATGAAATGAGAATAGAATTGACCTGATCGTGACTTAAAAGTGAAGTGGAAAAGTGGACTGTGATGTGGTTGTGTTAGGACTTTGAATATGCCTGATCGGGAGTCAGTGGGAGGTCCCGGGAACTCTGGAAGCGGTTTCCTACCACTACAGTTTCCCTCGGCGTTTGCTGCCTTCCATGCCACGACCCCACCAGGGACCCCGTCCGCAGCTATGCATCACGCTACGCATTATCATCATCATGCTCAGTAAGCTATTTAATTTAAATCTATACTTATTTTTAATATTATAAAGAAGAGTTTGTTTGTTTGAACGCGCTAATCTCAGGAACTACTGGTCCGATTTGAAAAAATGTTTCAGTGTTAGATAGCCCATTTATCGTGGAGGGCTATAGGCTGTATAACATCACGCTAAGACCAATACAAGTGGAGCACCAATAAAGAATGGTTCAAAATCGTTTTTTTTTTCTCTTTGGAAGGGCTTCCGCTGCGTGCGCTGCAGAAACGGTTAAAGTTTCGCTAAAAATATGACAAAATTGTTTCCCTTTAAAAAATCTAAAAAAGTTTGCGACAGCATATGTTTATATGTTAAGGTTGGCTCACTATAACGTTTTTTATGCTAACCAAATTTGTTCTAAAATAAAGCATTATTTGTGAACTATTTCCACGCGGACGAAGTCGCGGGCAAAAGCTGGTTATATTCATATTTCCGTAAACAAGGACTTCATGAGTGATCCGTGACAAAGGAATATGTAATAAAACCCGCAAAACCAATAGATCTTATTAGCAGACGGTCCGCAATTCAAACCACAACGTATGACTGCTTCGCGATAGTAATCATTGGTTTGTACAGAAGACAAAATGATTCCAACAAAATAACATAAGAATATCATCAATGTAGTCGAATTCAATTAGATATGCCTTATTAAGGATGGCCCAAAAAATACTGGTGAGATCTTTACAAAAAAGGGACTACACTAGAGACGCCAGCTTTCATATAAAGAATCATCAAAATCGGTTCACCCAGAAAAAAGTGTTGAAGTAACAAACAATACACATAAAAATATAAAGAAACAGTCGAATTGAGAACCTTTTGCTTTATTTTAAGTCAGTTAAATATTGTATCGGTTTAGTCTATTAATCAGTCAGTAATAGGTACGCATTCTATCATCTCGACATAACCGGACGCTACGGAAACTTCATCAATAAGTAAAGCAACTGCCGTATCAATTTCGGCTAAACTTTATAGATTACAACAGTATAAATATTGATTCACAATGGTGGTAGAACCTCTTGAGAGTCCGCGCGGGTAGGTATCACCACCCTGCTTATTTCTGCCGTGAAGCAGTAATGCGTTTCGGTTTGAGGGGTGGGTCAGCCGTTGTAACTACTTAACTTGAGATATACTAAGCAATTAATAAAAAAAAAAGTTAAATTTTAAAACACGAATTCCTAACCAAAGAATTACCTTGCATGCAACTTTATAATGTTCCATCTACTTTCTATGGCTTACTTGTCCATTCAGCAGTATTAACTCGAACTCAATTAAACTCATAAAACAGCTTATTAACATAATACACTCTAGCTGTATCGTTGTTTTAGTGACTCGCTTATCATAATCCAATACGGGGATATCTCTCATCTACATATGTAATTTTATTGCGATTTTCTTGCAATGCAAGTGTCCTTTAGTATTACGACCGGACCGGTGATATCTGGCTGTGCCTAAACGCCGGTTTCTTTAAGTGAACCGCTCGATAAAAACCCAAGTTTTATTAGACCCATTCGAATCGAACTCATTCGAAGGGTCCTTTTAATTACACAATTGCCGGCTCTCTTTCGAGTTATCTACGTGTTTATACCAAAACAATGTTGTGGATGTACGACTATTAAATATTTCTTAATTAATCATGAAATACAAATTAGTTTCGCGTGCACCTTTTCGCGTACTGTTATTTAACCTCTTCAGGGACTTTGGCGCGTATGTGTAAGTTTGGATTTTTTTAAATTATTTATACATATATTTAACTCTACGCTAAATGGCCACATAAAATGTGAATTATTAAAAAAAATGAAAATTCATTATGTTTCTTAATTTTATATAAGTACCTATGAAGTTTTTTTTAAAAAAAAAATAGATCACAATGAAGAATAAACTAAATTCATGTTGTTCATGCTTTGTAAAAATATTCCCTGAAGAGGCTAACGTTAACTTTTAAGAACTCTAATGTAAGTTTAACATAAAAATACATAATTTGGAGAATTTACATTGAGTTCAGGTATAACTAGAGGTAGGCCGTTTAGATTGGATTAAAGCAGTGGTATTAACAGCTCGTGGTCGATGCTCCATAAAATTCTCGGGTAAGACAAGGTGTTACTTAATTATAATTTATTGCAAAACATCGGACACGTAACCGATTCGATTCGGCCGCGACATTAATCTTCCGTAAATGGGAACAATAAAATAAATCGTGAAGAATCGACACCTGATTCAGTGAGCTGATGAATGACAGGCATGATGTACCTGGATTGAGACATTTACAACGTTAGGACCGACGTTAATAAAACGCACAACAAATAACTTAGTCCCTTATGAGCGTGGGACGCGTGATGATGTTGCACTCGACTGAAATGATTAATGGGTTCACGAATAATGCCCTTGTTCATTTTAAATCGGCTTATGAACTAAATTTACACACATTTTCAAAATAAGTCAATCACTATTCAGATATTGTTAAATTACCAGTTTAATTCTTGACACGTAAAGTGATGCGATGGAACCGGTATCAATTCATTGAACTACTCAAATAGCCCACGGTAAATTTGTCATTGCACACGACTTATGCGCAGTAATTGCATTCCTCGTTGCGTTACAAGATTGCGATTGGAAGTATAAAGATGTCTTTCTCGGAAGTCCAGTAATCCTTTAACCACGGTTGCACGCGAAGGATTTCGTCGCCGGATGGCCGCACCCATTAACGACAGTTTCTCGTTGCCTCATTTAACCCGCTGCTGCGATAATTGCCACCACGTGTTTATTTCTAAGCATTCTAATTATATCACGCACAATGGGTTGGACACGATCGACTATTTTCGTGATCGTTCGCTTCGTCAATGTCGATTTTGTCCGACCACAAAAGAGGTGTTGCGAGTCGGTTGTCGTTTGATTCATTAACTGGAACCCTTTGAACTGATGAATAGGCATCGTGGACTGCATTCCGTATTAATCTGCTCGGTGTTTCAGCTTCAATCCCTTTGTGAACTTATTTCTGTTCGAAACGTTCGCATCGTTTGCTTTGTTCGTGACATTTCAATCTTGTTTTATTTCTTGTTTTGACGTTTGATCGTGCTTTCATTCATTGTTACATTTTTTACTAAACGGCATACCATTGTACAGTTTTCGTATTAACTAAATTATGATGTATTAAAAAAATAAAGAAATTTTCAACCGCATATATAAAGTACGTTGCACAAAAGTCCTTTCATCTAACACATGTGTCGCCACAAAAGCTAGCCCATAATAACATGCTATTCACTCGCCCGCATCCCACTAAGGCCTTATTGTAACGTCCTGTCTTCACAAATCATCGACAACAGAGAGAAAAAAAACCCAATCATTATTTTGGTGTAAAGACAAAAGCACTATCAAATCTTGATTGTGCGACGTGTGTGGCTCTATTGTTTTCGGCATGTACAAGCTTGCGCCAATTACATTTAATAACTTTATCATTTTCGGATCTATTTTATTGAGATACATCTTCATCTTGTAACGTGATATTTGTATGGTAAGGTTTACTTTGTTGTGTCTTAATGCCGATTGTATAAAATGTTTTTACAGATGATTATCTTATCGTAGAAAATATGATACGTCCTCTAGATCGTCAACGAGTCAGTCGTATTTTGTTTAGTTTATGGTTTAAATTTCTTACAAGAATTATTTGACGTCTTTTCAAGGCTTGTGATAAAAATGTTAATGATAACATTAAATTACGTTGTGATACAAAAATCTATCCAGAAAATTACTCTGTAGAGATTTTAACGTCCGAAATTTCGTCTTCTAGTCTAACGTAAATTTCAAACAGAAACAATTCAGACTGGCGAATCCAAGAATAACCGAAACATTTTCGACTTCTGCATATAATTTCCAAATCCTCAACTGGAAATCTATACGGGTTGATTTATTAGTACAGTTCGAACTGTGACTGCTTCGTCCGTACTTAAAATAAACATAAACTCCAAGAAACCAATTATTGGTTTTTGAACAAGTCTTTTAGAAGGAGGAGAAAGATTTACTGTGCCGTTCGATTTAAATGCTCCGAAGCCCTTGGCCATTGAAGCCCAACTAAAATGGCTAGTACGAACTTTTAGGAAACCGATAATAAAAGTTGCGAGCCAATTACTGCGTTCGGATAAAATTACTGTCATCGTAAATTAAAATCTAAATAGAAACTAGTAAATGAGTTTTGTAATCCAAGGTGTCACGCATGGCTCGGCTCAAAGGCCAAATTATTTGAATAAAAATAATTACGAAAATCCATAATATTACCTGAGACCACTTCATATGGCCTCACGAAAAAAAAATAAGACAACTGCACGTCCAATTGTTTTTTTGTAGTATTAGCACCGATCCTTTTCTAATCTACATCGCCATGTGTCAATAGCCCCCACCGTTCTACAAAAAAAAAAAGCGGGCCGGTCAATCGCATCCATAAAGGAGTTCCGGTCGTAAACTACCCCATCCCTGGACGAACTTTATTGTCAAGACTTCCCGGTATAAATAGAGCAGAAGTTACAACGGAGATAAGGGTTTTCGTAAAAGCGGGTTGAAGCGCGACTCGTTTTATTCTTATCTATGGATCATCAGTGCCCACCAAAGTTAATTAGTCGAGTTTTCTAATTACTTATCAGTGTATCATTATACCGCTTACGGTCCAATTTTCTGGTCGGTTCGAAGCTGGGCAAATAATCTATGGTTCAATTTATTTCAACATCGTTTAATATTCTCAATCATTGTATGGTTAAGAATTAACAATGACCGGGTTCTGCCCCTGGCATTGCTGAAGTCCATGGGCGACGGTATCAACTCACCATCAGGTGGGCCATATGCTCGTCTGCCTACAAGGGCAATAAAAAAAAACATAGTATTACATTGTATTAATGTCAGTGCCATATACAACAATTTTGTTAAAGCCACATCTTCACCTATCAACTTCAGTCATTGAATGTAACTGTTGATAAGAATTGACAAT